AAAAACTTAAAAATAGGTACCTAAATAGGTTGTAAAAAATGCCAAAATAGGTGGCAAAAAAGCCAAAATAGGTGACAAAAATGAGAAATAGGTTGCAAAAAAAGGTCGAAATATGGAGCAAAAAATACGAAAAGTCTGAATATTTTCTATATTCCGTTCATAAATTTTATCGGTGTAATAAAAATTGTATAAAATTCCCATTTTTTAAAATTTTCACTGGGAGATATTTATTAAGAAAAAATTCTTTCAATTTTGAAAAAAATATTTTCCCAAAAATTGAAAAAAATTTTGGTTAATAAGAAAAATTGACAAATTTTTTGAAAAATTGCAAGTTTTTTCGAAAAATTTTGAAAATTTTTGGTAAAAAATCGAATTTTTGCGAAAAACAACCGAAATAGGTGACAAAAATAACAAAAATTACAAAATAGGTTACAACCTATTTTAGGTTGCAAAACCCCAAAATAGGTTTGAATAGGTGATAATAAGTCTGCGTAAACGTAAGGTATTCGAAAAATAACAACGGATTTGAGCTCAATTCATCATAACTATTTCGCAGAAAAAATAGGTTATAACCTAAAAATCCGACCCCTACTTATTACTAGTGTTAGACAAATGCGATTTTTCGGTATCGGTATTTTCGGTAAAAATACCGCGGTATTTTCGGTAAAAATACCGCGGTATTACCAAAAAATACCACGGTAATACGATACCGTGACCAACTCTACTCATCACCCTACTTGTGAGGGAATTTAGTATACAACTTTGTTTAAATGAATGTTAAAATATATTTTTAATTTCGAAAAAATCATGCCTAAATAAAAAGTTATGTCCAATAATATACATATTTCTGTCATATTCCCTCTTAGTTTTTCGCCAATATACATAGATTCCCATAATTTTATTCATATTTTATATTATTTTATGGATTATTATTAGTAAATTAACTCACTTTATATTTTTTTATCATTGACATTATGCTTAATTTAATGCCAATCGGACCACGATTTTACTCATAGTTAATGGATAAAATAAATTTTTAGGTTTTTCAAATTTTATAATTTAATTTTTATTTAGAACAATTTATTAAAACTGATTCTAATTTTTTTCATGTATTAAAAATTCTCATGTATTAAAATCATATTTTAAATCTTTATTCAAAATTAAATCCATACTTGAATATAATTTATTGAAAAATAACATATAATTATTACACTCAAATAATAAAATTGTGATATTAATTAAAATCTGTTTGATTAGTCCAACAGTCTCCCAAAGCTCTAAAATTTATGAATTTTTTTGTTAATATTTTCAAAATTTCTTAATTAAAACCAACTTATCGCATTCACACAAAAATTTTTCACACGGAGAATTTTCCGTTGAACAAGAAGTTATATATCCTGTGTTTGCATCGCACTCATAGGAATAAGCTTCTGTATATGGGGATCTATCAAACCAGGTCCAACCACATTGTGAGGCCCATTTCGCATCGTACTCTCTATAGCATTTATCGTGAATTTCACAACATCTTTTGATTGGAAAAGATATACATTTGGTTTTCAATTATACGACACCTCTTGTACGGAAAGCTAGATAAGCCCATTTTTATCGAATCCGTTGTTGAGAAATAGGGGCAAAAGTAATATTCTCAACGGATAAGCCTACCTATACATATATTAATTTTTTACCTGTCAAATTCGTCTATAGCTTCATATAATCCGCATCTTCCAATTCCACAACTATTTTAAAATTTAAAATTCATTTTTTCAGAATTTAGTAAGAAATGTTGAAATTAGTTTATATTTACTAATTATTTAAACGAGAATTTTTTGTTAAATATGTAGTACCTAAATCAACTAATTTACATAAAATGAGAGATAATGCCGATAACTCGTCTACAGTAAAAGAAAAATAATTTTCAAAAATAATTCTACTTCAATCTGAAGCTTTTTAAAATAAATTTTAAATTTTCGATTTTCTAAAATATTTATTTTCTTACTAGCAGCCGTAGTTAACCATTGAAATTGCTTGCAGGAAAGACCATCTCCCACTATCATAGATTTGGCATTTTAACATTGTAATCATATTTAAGGAACTCTTATTTTGTATAGGAAATAAGGGTTTTAAATTAATTAAATTAATTTTACAAAAAATTAGCAAAAAGAAAATAATTATTTTCATTTTTTAATTAATTTTAATTTTAATTTATTGCAACAAGCTTTTATATTCTCTTAAATTAAAAAGCCATTATTGTATATTCATTAAAAATACATATAACCATTGAAATATGTATAATTTTAAATTTAAAAAGAAAAATTTAAAAAAAATTTATTTCCATTTTATTGTTTTGTTTATTCTCAACAAATTGCAAAAACGTTTTTAAAATATTTTTTTATTTAAAAAATTAAAAGGGAATTGTATTTTCTGCAAAAATCAGATTGGCATATTAAACAAAATTTTTCAGAGGACAATAAAAATTCACCTTTTTAATTCTAATCATTTAAATACAAAATGGATAGATGCTAAATGTTGGGAAATTACTGAATATGGCCCCAAGAGCCCGGGGCTGATTCAGGAGTCGGGCCAAGAATTATAAATGCCTGGAGTCCGGGCTCAACTTTTTCAATCCTTTACTATTTCAGGATTTTTCTAATAAGTGAGAAGCTTCGTTCATCACATGGTAATGTTTTAGTATTTTTTCTATAAAACGTAAAAATAATTGGCAATTTTATGCAAATTTATAAAAATATCATATTTTAAAACGAAAAAGACTAACAAAAAGTTTTAAGGCAAAATTAAAAATACATAAATGTAAGAAATATCTAACAAAATTAATGAAAATATTGACACGCGGGAATCTGGGTGTAAAGTTTTTGAGCAAATATAGGCAATAAAATTGTGCAGATTTTTTTTAAAAAGACAAAAAACAAAAAAATAAAATAAAGAGAACACCCATAAATTGAATTAAAAATATGGCAGAAACAAAGTAGTACATAGAATCTTTTTAGGTTTTTATTTTAAAGGAAGATTGAAAGGACATATACTCAATGGGTGCCGGAAAAATGGGCTCTGGAAAATTGGGCTCCAAGATTTTTCGGAAATTTGGGCTCCAACTTTTCGGAAAATTGGGCTCCGGCGGTAATTTGGGCTCTGCGTGATAATATCGGAATATTGGGCTCTAAAATTTTGGGCTCCGGAGGAATTTTGGGCTCTGAGGAAAAAATCAAACACTAAGGAGAAATGTTCAATGAACTACATAATATATAAAATTTTTATCGGAAATCCGAATTTTAAGAGGTGAGAAATTTAAAACGTAACAGGGTTGGGCAACAAAGAGAAAATGTTTTTTTATTTTCACATTTGGATAAGGAGCGAATTCTACCTACAGAGCGAAGTCGAGTTCTAGGTTCGGAACCAGAGATGCACGAAAATTTTTCGTTTCGTTTCGTTTTCGTAAATTTTCGTGGATTTTTGATGATTTTCGTTTCGTTTCGTGTTTCGTTTGAAAATATTTTTTTCGTTTTTTTCGTTTCGTATTTCGTTAAAAAAATATTTTCGTTTCATTTTCGTTTCGTAAACTCAATTTTTAGACGAAAATGACGAAAATAATTTGACATTTTTAGTCATTTTTTACCGTATTTTTAGGGCAAAAATTGAAAATTTTTCTCTACGGGGACTGGAAAGTCAAGAAAATTTTGCCTGCGGCGCTCAAAGTGTAACTTTTTTTAATTAGAAACCTTAAAAATCTTAAGTCCTGTTTCCATCAATCCGTTTATATCCGTCGATATAACCCCAATTCACTGAGAAATCGAAGGAGCTAATCCCTGTTAATCCCAAAAATCCCCATCTCTCCATTGTACACCTCTAATTCAAATAACGATAAATTAAAATTTTAAATTATCAATCAAAATGTAGTAATTGGAAATAGATATATACCAGAAAATCAAAGAGGATATCAGGGAATCTCGATGGATATCGGGAAAGCAAGAGAAATATCTGGGAGTTCGGCGGATATAAGAGGATTTGTAGTGGAAAAATTTTTTCCTGCGGCGCAAAAAAAGACGATTTTTGGCTTAAGGATCTTCAAAATTCTCAAAATTTTTGCCTGCGGCGCTGAAAAAAGAAGATTTTTGTTTTAAGGAACTACCAAATTTTCAAAAATTTTGCCTGCGGCGCCTAAAACCGATGGAAGAATCGGGAATCGCCCAAATCCACCGACAATCATCCAAATCCCGCGTAATCGACCTAAATCGTTTGATAATGTCATCACAACTCCTCTGAATCCCTCCAATCCCTAGTCTGATTAAATATTTGATACATTTAGACATGTACGACCTCAAAAAACTTCTTATCTAACATTAAAATTTACTGATTAATAATTTTGACTTTTTTCGTTTCGTTTCGTTTCGTTTCGTGGATTTTTATGATTTTCGTTTCGTTTTCGTTTCGTAAAAATTAAAATTATTTTTTCGTTTCGTTTTCGTTTCGTACATTGGCGAATTTATTTTTTTCGTTTTCGTTTCGTTGAGAGCGAAATTCTATTTTCGTGCATCTCTGTTCGGAACCTACGGCCAGTTGGTCTGGGTGAGTACTTGGCCCTATTCCTTTATAGTATAATGCAAATTGGTTCAAATTGTTTGGTCCGATTCAGTAGAATCTGATAAAGAAATCCTATTCCTACCATTAACAGTTGGGCGTACACGTAAAGTGAGAAAAAAAGTGAAAAAACAATCTTAATTATTTTAATAAAATTTCTTCCTAAAAAAGATATCCAAAATTTTTGATTCGAATACCGGTTTGGGATATCCCTAGAGTTCCCTCGATCCGTCAACACTAATCCTAATTTTGAGGTTCTGATTTTTAACTTTTTGACTTTCGATTTTAGAGGTTATCTTTCTCACGATTTAGAAGATTTTAAATAATATTTCGATTTCGACATTTTAAATTATTTTAACTTCGAAAACTTTTATTTTCGAAACAACTTTGCATGAAATACTTTTAACACACCATTTTTTGTGTTAAAAATACTGAAAATCCATCTTTGCCCTTCACTCATCTCTAATTGTTGCATAATTTGACTTTTTTCCTCAGAGCCCAAAATTCCTCCGGAGCCCAAAATTTTAGAGCCCAATATTCCGATATTTTCACGCAGAGCCCAAATTACCGCCGGAGCCCAATTTTCCGAAAAGTTGGAGCCCAAATTTCCGAAAAATCTTGGAGCCCAATTTTCCAGAGCCCAATTTTCCGGACACCTACTCAATATGAGGGGGAAATGTTTTACAAAATTAAAAATACCTATAAACAATTAAACATATCATGTAAATCTTCACCAGGGGTCAGTCGGAAATTATGAAGGTGCCGGAAATTGGAACTGCCAAAAATCGAAATTCCGACTGACCTCCATCCAATCTTCACCGTTAATTTAAAAATAATTATTTTGGAGAATTTAAGGTTCCGCCAACATTTAAGAAAGTTTAAATAAAAATAAGTTAAACTTTTAACCAATCCTCCCTCCAACCCCATTTTGTCCTTCTCCGTTGTTAATTTTTACCCCATCAACACGTGCTCTAAGGTTTGAATCCAAACGATCAAAATAAGAATGTCTGAGTGCCTCAGCCAAAACTATTCGAGAACTTGGTTCGTAATCTAACCTATAAAAAGATTTTTTTAATTTTATAAATCCAAAAAAATATCTACATTCGGTCAATAAGATTAAAAAGTTGTTGGTGTTCCTCGTTATTTGATTGCATATAACGCTTAATTTTTAAAATAATTTTTAGAAAATTTAAATTTTTAAATAAAATTTGTTACCATTAGAGGTTTGCAATTATCTCGTACATATTGCCCCGCTGATGTTCTTTCATTCCAATCTAATCGGCCGTGGTAGAAATATTTGGTTCTGAAATTAAATTTTTTTGTTTTTTATCTAAAATTAAAAAAAAAATTTTTTTTTAATTACTTTTATTTTTGATTAGGGAGCCTGACGTCAAAGAAAAATAATTTTATTCTATGAATAGGGTTGTCTGCTATTGGAAAATTGTCGGATATTCGGAACTAAGCCAAAAAATCCTCGGTTTTTCCGTTAGGTTCCGAACCGATAACCTCCTTTTTGAATAAAAATTATTTGTGTTAACTTGTTTGTTTATTGTTATATTTACATATGAGGTTCCTTATATGTTGATAATTAATTGGGAATATATTTTTAATGTTAAGGTAAAAATTAAAAGTTTTTTTTTAATTTTTACTTTGTTTTTCTTCCCATTCTGTAAGGTATATTTTCTAAAATTCTTTCCATCATTGCCAAATGTTCTCGATTATCGTGTGTTTGAAATAAAGTCTGTCCCGTGTATAATTCAAACATTATACATCCAATAGACCAAACATCACAAGGTTGTGACCATCCAAGTTCTTTTTTAAAAGAAAATTAAAAAATAATTTCTAAAAATATTTATTACCCAAAATAACTTCTGGAGCCCGATAATGTCTAGTAGAGACAATAGTTGAATGATGCTCGTGATCGAAGGTGGCAGAACCCAAATCAATTAAACGGACTGTTGCATCCTTTTAATTAAAAGAAAAATTAAATGACGTAATAAATTTTATGGAAATTATGACAACCCAGTATTTGCTGCCAGCCGTAATGTGATAGTACGGGATTTGAGAGGCAACTTCAGATAATATTAAATAAAAGCTATTCTCAACCCTAACATTTTGTAAAATATCGAGAATCAGTTTATAGTATTTTTACTTTAGTCTTATTTTGCAATATCGAGCCAACACAATAATTATATTTTTATTTAAATTTTCGATATGATTTGATTTTGATTAAAATACTTAGCAATCAATTAATTAATTTTTGCTTTATAACCCTAAAAACTCCAAAAAAGCCCCCCACCTTAACAACTCGCATAGGTTTTCGTCTCCTTCCTTCATCAGAATTACCCTGTGGCACAGTAACATAATCACTACATACAAAAAGTATATTTTCTGGCTTCAAATCAGTATGTGTTAAACGATTTTCATGCAAAAATTTAACTGCGTGTATTAACTTTAAAAATAATTTTTAAATAAAATTTAAAAATATTTTTTTAAATAAATACCTGATAAGCGATATATCTTGCTTGATCCAGAGGGTAGGGTCTGTAATCATTCGATTTCTTAATAATTAAGATTTATTCTAAACAAATATGTAAATAAACTTTAGAAAATATTTTAGCTGGGCTGGATTCGGCCAGATTTTTCGGGATTAATTCGATCAGAAATTAACCCCTACTTTTTACTAAGAAAACTATTTGGATTAAAATTAAATTAGAAAGGAATAGAAAAGAGATTCCAGATCGTTATCTCGAAATCCTTTATTTCAATAACCAAGATTTTCGAAGGAGATCTTGTCTCAGTATGATTTCTAATTTAAATATTTTTAGCAAAAATAATTCCAGTTTATAAGAGAAAAAATTACTAAACAAACCATAAAATCGAAGACACTTAATCCTAGCAAATCAAATAATAGACATATCTAGAATAATAAATATGTATGTATAAAAAAGTTTGCTAATTTATATATCAGAATCATGCAAATAAATTTCCAGTTCCCAAAATCGAAAATTTATTTTTTATGTCTACAAGATTCTTGTTATATGCGCATAGGTAGTTAATAGAGAATCGTTCTGGATCTGGATCCAGCGTCTAGATCCAGGCATTTTTTATCTTCCTGGATTTTTCCTGGATCCAGATCAAGAATCCTGTCCAGGTTACTAACCTAAATCCAGGTCCATAATATTTGAAAATACCGATCTCTAGTATTTAATTAAAGTCTTTTTTCAAAAAATAAATATTATTTTTCAATTAAAACAAACATGTCCAAAATAATCAAAACTGTCAAGTAATTGGATAACCAAATGTCGACTATCCGGATCTTTTTCTTTTAATTTTCTCAAAACATTAATTTCTAAACGAGCAGCTTCTCTATATTTTGAAACATTTTTAATTATTTTTAAAGCTTTTGGTGTTGAAGAAGATTTTCTTCCAATTCTGAGATCTTTAACTTGCACAACTTTCCCAAAAGTTCCTTCTCCCAAAGTTTTGACTATTTCAACTAAATTTTTGTTTTTTTCTATTAAATTTTAAAATATATTTATTTATACATCTATTATCAATTATTTGGCCATTATGATAAAGCAAATGCCCTTCTTTGTCGTCCTGGATTGGGCGACTTCCAGGACTGTCATTCCAATTACTTTTTCTGACTGTTTGATTTAACTAAAAATTTAAAGAATTTATCTTTTAATTAATCAAAAAATATTCTTCCCCTAATAATAATTATTTAAATCCACATCCCCTAGATTGTAATCATTAATTTATAACAAACTCACTCCTTTCTTTACAGTACCACTTCCCCCACCAGCAATTATTTTATCAACTTTAGCACAAACAGATGGAGGTAATTGCAATGAAGCTATTAAAGCATTTGTTGGGGCTGTTGATTTTTGTTGTTGTATTTTTGGGCCGGGATAGGGAGGGGGTGGAATTGGTGGATTTTGAATAAGTCCAGAATGGGGCCTGTTGTAAAATGAAAGTAAAAATTTAAAAATATTTAAGTTCGTTACCTTTGATGACGTGACAGATTCAAAACAGGAACCTTAGCTTCAGTAGTCGACTCCCCTGGAGTCTCGTAGCTTTCATCGTCATCGTCATCCTCCTCCTCGTCTTTCCCTTCCTCTCCTTTTTCTTTCTTTACATCTTCATTTTTATCAGCTTGTGTAGAATAATTTTCGAGTTGTACTGTTGCTTTAAAATCGAGTGGTTTACTCTAAAATTTAAATAAAGTTACATATACTAATTTATCTTTAATCACAGGTCTACTATTTTCGGTTACAAAATAGAAAAATTTTGCCTGAGATAATTTATGAGATGAGGGAGGAGGTGCTTGTGAATGTTCCTCTCTTCTTTCAGAATTATCTGAAGTATTGGCAGCATCAGTTGTTGAAGTCCCAGTCTCTCCTTCAGTAGTTCCACTAACACTTTTTTGACTACTTTCATTTTTATCTTCAATAGAAGCAAAAAGGCTAAGTGTTTTAGCCAATCCACTCCTAGCTGCGCGGTGTTCAGGAGGCTGTCTAAATTTAGGAGTAGTCAAAGGTGATGAGGAAGGTTGTTGTTGTTGAACATCATCAATTTGTTGATCAATAGGGACGGCAACCAAAGGAATATGTGAAGGGGTTGTTGAAGCTGTAATGTTTTGAGTAACATTTCCGGCACGAAAACGACCGCTAAGTTTTCGAGTATGTAAAGTTGGGGATAAAAGTTGCTGTTTTTGTGCTTCTTCTGTTGTTGTCTTTGATGATTTTGAATCATCAGGATCTCGCCTATTAGCTAGTCTGTTTAATTCTCGCCGAGCTAGCAATGAAGGGGAAGCTGGCGGTTTTGCAGCATATACATTAGTGGTTGTTGTTGTAGTTGGTAATCGAGCTGTTGATGTTTGTGCTACTTGAGAAGTTAATAATTAATAATAATTTTTCTGTTATTTACTATCTAATTTCAATAAAAATCTCATAAATAAAATTATACAAAATAAGTAGAGGGATAAAGCTAGATTAAACTAGATTATATCCAAATTAAGAATATTATTCTAATATTTACTATTCCAAAAACTAACCATCAGTAATTGTTGTATGAAATGCTGCTGACACAGCATCGACAGTACTCTTTGCTTGAGCATCTTCCAATTCCTCTTGTTTTTGTTCTCTCTCTTTTTTCTTCTTCAAATTATTAGAAATTGAAGGTAATTTTGTATTTCTTAGTTCTTCTTTTATTTTTGCTAAATCTTCAAGTCTTTTTCTTCTCCCGGAAATTTTTCTTTCCAAATTTCCTCCAGAATTTTCTCCTTCTAAATTTGAAGGATTTGGACGAGAATTTATTTGTTCAATTCCTTCTACTGGAGTGGCCAAAATCTTTTTTTGATTTTCTTTTGGGGAAGAGACTGTTATAGCTGCTGTAGATGTTGATGGGGAACATGTAGTTATGTCTAGAGAAGGAATAACTCCAATCTTTCCAATATTGGAATTTTTAGATATCCCTCCAGTAGTGTGTTGACGACCCCCTGCAGCGAATGCTAATCTCTCCTGGGCTAATCTTATCGATGTTCCTTTAGCCAGAGAAGAGGGTTGGACAGTTAAAGGTTGTTGTTGATGTTGGGTGCTGTTGTTGATACTTTTCTTTCTATTAATTAATAAAAAAATTTCTTGTAATTTAGGTAGGTTAATGAAATTTTCCCGGGCCTAGCAATAGGGTGACGGATCATTAAAGATGTTCGAATATTTGGAACCGAAATTTAAAAAAAAAAGAAAAAAATTTTAAAGTTGCACCAGATCGTAAGAGACAAGGGCCTGTGAAAATTGATTATTGGAGATCTTGATTCTAGAGATCTAGTAAATTCTAACTTAAATTTTGGGGAATTTGTCGTTTTATCTTTAATTAATTAATTAAATACCTAAATGTTGGGCTAAGTATTTGTTTAGATTTAAATTCCTCCATTTCTTGTTGATTTTTCCTTTGTTCTCCAATATTTGGAGAAGGAATTCCCATGGCTTCTAAACGTTCAGAAGCTGAAGCAGCCATTAAACGTCTTTCATCTTCTTCAAAATTTTCAGCTACAGCAAGTAATTTAGCTGCAGCAACATCCAATTGTTCTATTCGGTTTTTATATTCTTCTGTAGACTTTTTAGAACTTCCCATAGAGGAAGAATTATTTTTCTTTGAAAATTCATTTTGTCGAATAGAAACAGATTTAAGGTTTTCAACACAAAGAGAATACCAATGATTGAATCCGCGGTAAAGTTGTGGGTCAGAAACACAATTTCGCATTGAAGACCCTATTAATAATTTTTAAATTAGACATATCACACCCAGAATTAACTATACATAGACTTAATAAAAGGACCGACCTATTATAATTAGGACCTAACTAACGATAAGCAAGGAAGGTAAGGGAAATCTGTGTAACGTACTGATGGAACTTATTGGTGAAGAAAAAGCTCGCAAGGTGCCTTATTGGTTAGACTTGATAAAAAAATTAATTTCACATTTAAATGTTATGCTTTACCTAATACTCCCCCACGATTTCCTTTACGTTTAGAAATATGATTTTTATGTTTGCGCCTTTTGGGGATAACAACAAGTGGTTGTTGTTGTCTCTTCCAAGGGAATTTGCTGAGAACATTTGTTTTTGGTGGAGGTTGTGGGGGTGATTTTAATGAATTTGTATTGTTGTTTTTCTGTTGAGATGCTTCCACTTCCGATTTTTCTAAAATTAATTTTCTTTATTATTTTATTTTTATTATTTCTAATAAGTTTTCGAGTTCGAATAACTTTACGATTTAGAGAAAACCTGACGTTTATTTTTAATTTCTACTAGGAATTAATGTGCATATACATATGTCTGAATTTTCAGAGATTTCGCCTGCAGCACTAGTGTAATAAAATAAGCGCGGAATCATTTAGATTTCGTCGAGACAAAATTTAGAAGCACTGTTCTCCCTCAAAACTTTCCGGTTCTTTTTCGGATATCCTAATATTTTCCAAGAACCTATAACCCTATTGTTGATTAATCTGCCGAGAGATCTCTCAAAATAACTAACCAGCCATTCCTTTAAATTTATTGTTTATTCGAGTATTTATATTAAAATGTTCAAAGTCCTTTCGTTGTTTATTTATTTCCAGATTATCAACAAAAATATTTTTATTTTCCCCTTGTTGTGTAAATTGACTTTTTGTTGTTTCTGTTAATGAAATACTTGAAGAATTTGCATCGTTTTCTTTCTCTTCCTGTAATGTTTTTTCTGATTTTTTATTTGAATTTGAAGGGGTCTCTTCCATAAAATTTAAGAAAAAAATCTTTAAAAATTTTATATAAAAAGATAAATTCTTGATTGAATAAAGAAAAGATTGTGTTGCCACATTTAGAATAAAGCAGAATTAATAAAATTAATTAATGAAAGAGTGCCCTCTAAAATGCATTGCCCTTTTGGAGATTTTCTTTAAAATATTTCTTTGTTTGTGAAAATTATGTAAAGATTTTTGGATAGATATCAGGGCTGTCCGGGATAACTAAAGCATAATATCAGGTCTGTTCTAACTCGAGAGACATTATCCCTGAACTGTGAACTGAGTTTTTATCTGATTTTAATTTTTTTCTCTCATACCGTACTGAGAAGAAGTAAAAATTTAAATGCATCATTTTTGAAAAAATGAAGGCAAATTAATTTAAAAACAGAGATTTTTAAAAATAGAAAGTTTATTTTTTAAGAGATGTAAATAGATATTAAAATAAATTAATAGAAAAATATTTCTAAAAATTCTTTTTAAATCTATTAAAAATAATTATTAATTTGATACATCTTTTTATTTTATCAAAATTTAAAAACAATTCTTAATATATCAAAAATAGAATGTTTCTATTTATGTTTCAATAAATATTTGATTTTTAAACTCTTAAGCTTAAAACACAATTAATAAAATAGGAAATCTTATTTTTTTTAATAATTTTTGAGGTGTTCTTGGCAACAGAATTTTATTTTAGATATTTAAACACAAATCTATATATCCACTTTCTCCCGTCTTTCAAAAACGGATTTGTGAAATAAAAAAATTTTTTAGGAACAATTGATTTTCCGTCAAATTTCCCCCCTTCCCTTTTCCTTCATCTCTCTCACTTTTATTTGATCAGAATTAAATATCTTTTAGAGGAAATAAATGAAAATGAATGTTTTAAGAAAAGGCAACTGGCCATAGCGTCAACTAATAATAAATAAATATATTTATTTAAAAAAGAAAAAAAAGTTTTTAAAATAACCGGACAGAACAGGCAAAAAGGCACACAATAGAAGAAGATATTTTGATAGTATTTTAAGGGAGAGCGCCTGCTTCTCTCTCTCAATTCAGAAAAATTCTGGCAGATTTTAAGGTTGAATAAAATAAAATGAAAGAGAGAATGAAGGGAGGAAGGGGTACAGCTGGGATTGAGAGTGGCTGAAATCAGAGGAATTTTATTGGGAAGAAAAAGCAAAAAAATTAAGGTAAAATGATAGGAATTGGGGGGATGTTAGGGCGTTGGGAAGTTAAGGTAGGGGACTAAAAGTATTGAGGATTTTTTATTGTGAATGGAGGAAGTTTGAAAGGATTCCCTCCATTTTGTTAACCAAAAAATTCTGAATTAGGTAATTCAAAGAATTTTTGGTCATTTGATTATTCTAAAAAATATTACGATATTTTTCGAGTTTTTTACGGAATTTTTAAAATGTTCTTTAAAAAATAAAGAAAGTTTCTGAAGAATTAGTTGAGGATTTTTATTTTATTTTTATTTTTCCTTCATATCTACTTATAAATTCTCTCATACAAATTTCCTCTTTTTATAAGCGCCCAAAACAACCTACGCCATAACAACCCAAAAGAATAAGCTAGGATATAGCCAAGAGAGAAGGGGGATGATCAGAGAGTTGACGTGAAAAGATATCAATTTAATGAAAAAAAATAAAATCAATATAAAACAAAAGGTGAAAATGAAAAAAGAGAAGTATTGAGCTTTTTTGAATTTGGCTAAATTTATTTTTAATTAATTTATTTATAGAAAAAAGATTAAATTACTTTAAGAAATATATTTTTTTAATTCTAGCTTTTCTTGGAAATTTTTTTAAAAAATAAAAATTGAGGAATATGTAAATATATTTTATCAGAGTACCTCCGTATCCGTATAGAGGTCTATATCCGTATCCGTGTAACTCTGTGGATATATCCGTTTTTCTCAAAATGGTTAAATTAATTTAAATTTGTGGAATGGTTAAAATAAAATAGATTAAATCGAACTCAACTAGGGATTAGAATCATTCTGATTATCGGCGGGATTAACAACCAAAACTCCGCCCAATTTTGGGAAACTCATCTCGTTCTACTCTTCTTGTATAATCTCTACAGTAATCGGAAATTTCAGATTTTATTCATAGAGAGAAGATTATAAATGAAATCTGTTTCTCAGATTAGGAATCGAACCCAACTTGAAATCAAAAAACCTGATTGGAGTCCATCAACTTCACCACACAACCAATCGCTCCTGAAAGGGAGACGAAAGAAAGAGAGGATAACTTCTTCAATTTTCTATTAATACCCAGAACCAGGTACTACTCACTTATTTTCTCGTACTCACCATTTAAGTTGTCCCGACAATTATGAGACTCGATTTTGTTACGAAATACAGTAACAGGATAAGAGAGAAGCAATGGAAAATTCTCGAGAATTTATATTTGTTTGAATGATATTCGTTCAATCTAACAAAGTTGAGCCAAAAAATTTTAATATAAAAGCCACCCATTTTCTAATCATTTTCATACAACACATTGCTTCTTCATAATTCAAAACTCAACTTTCTTGTGCCTGTTACAACTACATTCCTGCTAGCTGATGGCTGTTCCTTGCACCCGTCGCCTTCTCTTAATTGGACTTTTGCTGGTGCTTGCCGCTGATAGTGCGTTTGGACGTTTTCTGCCTGCTGCTGTCGAACAACATAATCTTCGCTTCAAACGTGGGGCTGATGACATCTTTCTGCGTGATACTAAGGATTGGAGCAAGTACGGAATCGCTACGGGTGTCTATCTAGTTATGTAAGTTATCCTCTAATTTTCGTTCTTTTAAAAATTGTTTTTTTTTAATTTTAGCTCCCTTGTGATCTACGTTGCTACATTCTGTTGTGCTCTTGAGAAGAAATGCGCCGCTGCTGCGGTAATTATTATAGATTGCGAAGAGTCGCCCTAATTTATTAAAATTCTTTTCAGGGTCCACCTCCTTCGGCATCAGCAACTTCTCTCGGTCCGGCTAGCAGTGTGGCGAGTTCAGCAAGTACAAGAACGGCTAAAGGCCCGAGCCCGAGTGAGGCTAGTATGCGGACAGCGCTGCAACAGTCAATTAGGATGGACTCGAGAACGCAAAGGGAGACGGAGAGGGCTGCTGCTTCATCTCGCAAGTCTGGAAAGGTTTCGCCATCAACTCGCCTTCCAACGGCATCTGCGAAGGAGCAAACGGCATCTAGGAAGACGACGTCTGCCAGGACTTCATCTGCTAGGACCGCATCTGCTGGAACCACATCGAAGAAGAGCACGTCAAAGGCTACCAAGTCGAAGAAAGGGACCTCTTCAAAGGGGACGACGGATACTGGGAAGAGTACTTCGGGATCAGCCCGTTCGACTTCGGGCGGAAGCGGTGTTTTTTGTTTTAGATAAAAAAAATTTTTATTTCATCTTTAGAAAGCGGCAGCAAATCATCTGGTTCCGGTTCCGTCTACTCCGAAACTTCCAGTGGCGCTTCCAGCGGTTCGAATGAGGGTACAACTAGCGGTGGATCTCATAGTTCTGGTTGAAAAGGATAGAAGGAAAAGGAAAGAATGGATGGATGAAATAAAGATATATAAAAGCAAAATACGTTCATGGTTGTGTTGTAGAGCCTATATTGTTGTTATTGTCCTCCCGAAAAAGATTTTGTATTCCCTCCTTCCATTATTGTATTCAATCACATGTAGGTATGTATGTATATTATATGCTATTAAGTCCGAAAATAATCGGGAATGTACTTTATTGTTGTTTTGACACAATTATTGTATTCTTTATGTTGTGCTATGTATGTAATTGTCATATGTATGTTCTGTATAAATAACCTATTCCGTGTCATTTGAGGTAATTTCATGTTGTATCATATACTTATGTGTCCGCTTTCAGTAAAGGAGGTGTAATCGAACAAGCCTTGAGGGCTGTCGAATAAGGTCAGGATTGAGTTGTTTAACTTAATTTGGATATGGTCGCTGGGTTCTACACCAGTAACATAAACCTATTCCTATTCTCTCAGCGGTGGACATTCCTGTCTTCCTCCATAGCAAATTCCTGTCTTCCTCCCTATGGTTTTTCGATTTTTGGGGAACTATCTCGGTCCACAGGCATTTTCGCATCTAGAGTGGTATCGTTCGACCCAGCCGACCACGAAGGCTCGAGGAGCTACTCTAGACTTAATCCAAACTAAAGTCCTATAACCAAATAAATTGTAAAAATGAATCAGATATAATTTTTATTTGCATATTTAAAAGGAAATTAGGGTAAAATAGGTCCAAAATTTTGGCAATGAGAATCTAGCATCAGAAATTTACTTTTAAAACTCAATACATAGGACCAACATCTAAAAATATGGGGAATAACATTGATTTTGTTACAATAGATATACATATTCACAATTTAGATAACAATTCTCTCAATGAAAAATAACTACTATGGAAATAGAGTAGGTCGAGGCCTCGCTGAAGCCGAGGTCCTCGGCCATTTTCAAACCTCGACCTCGATTTTTCTGACCTCGGGCCTCGGCCAAAATTTGCCCCACGACCTCGATCTCGGCTTTTCCAGCCTCGGTGATCCTCAGTCTCGGTTTTTTCAAAAAACCTCGACCTACTCTATATGGAAATAAAAATCGACAATTAAAAGATTTGGAAACATTAGAAACAATTAGATTCTTCATCGACAGAAATTGCTGAAGTTTCTTCTTCATTCTTTTTATCATCCAATGAAAGAAGCATTTCATGGAACTAAAAATTAAATTATTAGACAAATTTTAAATTTTTGTCAACTCTATGGAAATCCTGTGCAATTTTAATATCCAAATCAACTGTTTGACTTTCATTTCCAATTTCATTAAAAATAAAAGCAGGGGAAAATACTGGAATATTTCGACGATTAACTGGCTTTTCGTAAACATTAGTTGGTTCAGAAGGACTATATTCTGAAACTTTGTCTTCCCTAAATCCATACATGTTCATCAAAAACTTTTTTAAATGAAGCAAAATAAAACAAGCATGACTATTCTTTCTAAGTTCATAAATTTTTTCCTTGTCCTCCGGAAGATTCTCTAAAAATTAAAAGATAATCTATTTTATAAAAATTTAATTAACAGACTTAAAATATGTTCAACACTAAATTCTTCTGGTTCTTCTATACGGATTGATTTGTTTGAGTTTGTTTCATCTTTGCTCGATCCTAAGCTTCTTTCAAGGTGTGCAGGAACAAGTAATTGGCGTAATTGGCTGAGAATATTTTGACCGGAAACAGAGATAATTGTATCCGCTTGATGAATCACATAAAGAGGTTCATCCATCACAGTGTAAGGAAAATGTGCCAAATTATCAGAAAGGAAAAGCCATTCTTCTTGTTCAGTTTTCTTTAAAAAAATTTGATAACATAATTAGTTTTATTTTATTAAATACTTAATCAAGTCAGATTTATTATAAACTCACATCACTGTTCTCCTCCGAGAAAATTTTCAATAGAGAAGAAAGAAATGTACGTCTGTTTTGCCTATTTGCGCGCACATTAATATAGAAAATAGAAAGTAAAGCTGTAACATCAATTGAATGAGTTAATAATTTTTCACCTAAAAATAAAATCTTAAAATTATTAATATGTAAGTTCATTTCGATTATGCCAACAAAAGTCCGCAACATTTTGCCGCAAGCAGAGTGATTGATTAATAATTACATTTTAACAAAAAATTAAGCAACAATGGCAAAGAAAATCAGAGAGAAGGGAAACCCCGCATGAGTATCACATTACTCCCTGCCTTTAGTGCTGGTAAAATTTGCGGACTTAGTCAGCATAACAGAAAAGGAACATCTAATATTACTATTTGTAGAGGCTCTATTGCTATTCAAAGGATTGTCATTTGCACGAAAACCACGAATAATTTTTCTAGCATTATTTCGAATCTTCTTCTGTAATTCGAAAGAAAGTCTAATACCAGCCACTGCTTTGCTCTGAAAAAATTAATTGAATGATTGTTAGCAAAAAATTAACCTACAAGAATAAGTCCTTTGTATTTTGTATTCATATCTCTAATTAATATATCAACTCCAATTCTGATTTGACTCAAATAATCAGTAGACATTGCTATAAGCGTAGGAATAGATGATCCGGGTGTTACCAATCCTTGTTCCAATGTTTGTCGAATAACTTGAGCAGAATTAATTCGAACATTTTCACTAAAATTTTGTTTTATTTAAATATAAAAATGTAGCTTACTCGTTATGAAAATAACAAGTGAGAATGGCATTCCAGTATTGCTGAATAACACTAGAACTAAGTCCTGATGAGTCCGATTCCATCTCCTTCAAATTGTCAACATTCAATTTTGACTTTTGTTGTTTATCAAAAGCGTCATCAACGATAAGTGAATTCTCTTCTTGTTGCTTTGTTTGTTGTTCTTGATCAAGCTTAACTTGTGCAGCTCTTTTCAATGCCCTCTGTTCTTCAGCAGAAAGAAACCTAGCAATATTTTTTAGGACTTGTACTTTCAATTGAAGGTGTTTTCGGTTGTCAGTGTTTTGAAGGTGTTCATTTGGTGTGTTTTTTGAAGGTGTTTTGGTCAAAAGAACCTATAAAATAAAAATATAATAGATATTCAATTTTAAAAAATAACCATATAAATATTCTTCAATTTTTCTTTACGCAAAACCTCAGGACATCCAGCGGAGAATTGGCCTGAGTTATAAAATAATCTATGTTAAAGAGAGAAAAATTAAAACCTAAAGCAATCAAAGCCATTTTCGATAATGCATAATAAGAAGACAAGAATTGAATATAATAAGAAACAAGAATTGAAAAAACAGAATTTCTAACTATGTGTTCTTGTTCGTTAGATTCACTAGCAGGATTAATATCAATAAAAAGGTCCCGTTGTTCATTTTTTAAAAGAATATCAAAATCAAAGTAACGGCACATCGATCCAATTGAATATAGTACCTGGCATAGTATTCGAAGTTTATCTTCAGTATTAGACGTAGACGATGTCGAATTATTACTTCGTTCATCAAGTTTCAATTCAGGTTTTTGTTTTTTGAGATATTCTAATTGTAAGAATAAAAATTCTTTAAAAATGATTAAGTAAAAAATATTTTTATTTTAAAATACAAACTGTAAAAAACGATGAAAAGTCGACAAATGCTCGGTTGCTCCTCATTTTGTAAAAACTTTAATTGAATTTCAGCCATACAGGATATAGCGCTGTCAATCAAATTCGTACAACCACCCTCTTTAACAATATCGCTTAATCGTGTATCTAATTGTCGAATAAGTGTTTGTGAGGTATTATAACTGTCCATCATTGGAATAATCTCTTGCAACATTTCAATTATCTAAAAAAAATTTAAATTTTCGTCCATAGCGTTTTATATTTTAATTTACTTTACTAAGCAGTTGGTCTTGTAAAGGTGAGGAACTTGAAATGGACAAATATGGGATAAAAACTTCGATGTGGCCTATCAGTAATTCTGAACGTGCTTTGGCAAAGAAAGATAGAATAGTTAATGTTGCAGATAATCGTGTCTGGTAATCCTGTGTTGATTTAACTAGACTTACTTCACCCAATCCTTGATCTAAACATTAACGAAATTTGTATAAAATTAAATGATTAGCAGAAAATACCTCGAACAGACTCTTTCTCTAAATTCAAAACATAATTTACTAAAGCGTCAACTATTTGTTTAGAGGCAATAATAATATCTTGCTCTTGAGAATTTTTAACTAACAATGTAATTAATGTTCCAATATAATCTTCAGATTGCTCCCCTATGCTAAAAACTGCTGTCTCAACAAGAAGGCGAACCTAAAAGTATCATATATGTAGAAGAAATCTTATTAGATAAACCTTCTCATCCAATTTAGCAGCATCACGGGTTGGAATCATCCAAAGCTGTTGAAAAACCTCAATACACATTTTCTTAACTCCTTCTTCATCATTAATTCTTTGAATAATTACATAAATAATTTGAGGAGATTTTTCAAACTTCGGTCGAAGATGTACAACTTCTTTTAGAATTCGAATCACTCGTTTTCTGACAGCAACTGCTGTGTCCTTAATTTTAATAAAATTTAAAAAAAAAACTTGAAATTATATAACCCTTGTTCTATTGAGTAATATAGAATAATAAGTATCGAATAATTCTGGCTTGGATACAAGGCATTTTCCAATTAAATCGAATGTTGCTTCCCTAACTGCTGCATTGGCATCAATCAACCGGTCTTGAACTATTTTGTTGACTTCAGGCTGTAAAATAAATGATTAATAATATACAAGTGCATAGCTGAAGCCCCCCCCCCCCCGAAATAGGATAAAAAATTTTTGGAGGGAAATTATCAATAAAACGCAATTTTTAAGCACACTTTTAATAATAAAAACTAACAATCATCAGCACTTGTGAATCTGCTTCAACAATTTGTGCCAAGCATTTCATTGCTTTAGTTCGAATCGCAACAGGATATAGATCTGGTTTGAAACCTTCCAAAATCCGTCTCAAATATACATCAAATAATTGTCTGTAATAATTTAAATTAAAATTTGTTCAACTACATAAACAAACGATAATTCTTTCTTCGAAGCCAAATACTTGACAACCCAATTTGCATCACATTCCACAAGAGCACTTCCATTCTTTGAGATGAATTGCCCTCGACGTTTTATATGTTGTTTATCCATAAGTCCCATAATAAACAGTTTCATGCTTTGACCTTTTTCAGAAATTCTTTGTATTTTCTGATCATTTTTCTGGCTTTCTTTGCGCGAAACATCACCCTTTCCAGTTGCTTTTGCATGACGCTCCTTACAAACCTCAACATCTAATACTGTCTCGCGGTACCATTCAACGGCATAAAAGAGAAGAACATACTGAAAAAAATTAAAAGAAGAGAATTAGTAAAACGAAAAAAAAACCTCTACAGAAACATTTTCTTCCCGCATAGTTCCAATTATATAATCAAATAATGCTTGTTCAAGTTTGCGTATTTTCTCACTCGAAGATAGCTGAAAATAAAAATATTTTCCGGAAATTAAAAAAAATCAAACATGGCTAATGTCAACATCCTCAACATTATAACTTGGATCATAAGCATTCTCATCAAATAGAATACTCTTTACAATAGAATTTAAACGATCCTTTTCCTGTGCTGAAGATTCAGCCGAAAGGACAGCAACTCTATCCTTACGTAAACGAGCAGTAATTATACCCAAATAATCGAGCGAAGCAATTCGTAAAGATAAATCAAATGTTTTGGAGCGATAATGCACAACCAATAAATTGCCCAAGACAGTAAGAATCATTTCGGCTACAGGCCACATTGGTCGATGTAGAGCAACTAGTATGTCCTAAAATTAAAAATGAGTAACTAAACAATTAAAATCAAAATGAATATGAATAATACGGCAAATGAACCCCAAAAAAATTATAGAAAATTAACCGAAAGAAACTGTTCAAACAATCGTCTATAATCATCTTCAGCCTTCGCTGTACATTTCCCTAAGAAACCACCAAGAAAAAAAGCAGCCAACTTTTTAGCTTCATCATAAGAATCAACAACAATTTTATCATCTGAATCACGAATTATTTTTTCATGACGATAATCATTTTTATGATGAACGGTTTTCCGTGGAGGTAACTAAAATTTTTATAAAAAAATTAATGGCACCAAAACCTGAACAGCTGATTGAATTAATTGCAATATAAGAACAGTAAAATTTCCAATAGACTCGTTAGCACTAAGACGATGGGAATTGCGAATGTTGCGTGTCAAAGGCAGTTTATGAACCATGTTAAGAAGATCAAGCAATATAGTTCGCCGTAGAGTAGGGCATTTAGCAAAAATAATAGGAAGGAGATTAATTGATTGCATTTGAACTTCTGGCACATTCTCAACAAAGAATGGGGGTGTACAAAGTGAACTTAATTGAATCATCAATGTTTCGCTTAGACTATGAAGACGAGCCTAAAATATTTAAGATTAGAATTGTGACATTATAAAAAATATAAAAAACCAATTCTGAAAAACATGTCAATAAATCAAGAAGTCTGCTATACAATTGTGAAGTATTGATATTTCTTGAAATGTTTCGTTTTTTAATAAATGAACAATCTCCTGATTTTCGTAATTTAGAAGATTGTACTTTAAGAGAATTATCGGTATTTGGATAAATAACTTCTTGGAGGCATTGTTTGCATAATTGAACTGAACGCTCAAATACATCCTCTACTAGGACCTTTAAATAAATTAAAAAAAAACTAAACATTAAAAAAGTGTACTTGTTTCGGCATTCGCCTAGAAGTCATAATACATAAGGCCGTCAAAGCAGCATCAACTGATTTAAGCAAACGTTCGTCTATCAATTCACGAAATGCCTCATCAGTTTCATCACTCTAAAAAAGCGGAAAGAGACAGAAATTAAAATAAAAAATGTACAAAAAAACCTCATTTCCTCTAATACGAGCATAAAATGCTGTGCCATCAACATCGTCATCATCAATTAAAAACTCTCGAATATTCTTTTCTAGCACCGTCAACAATTTGACAAGTTTCTCTGTAGGTATGTCAGAAAGTTTTTGCCAAAATTTTAATTTCTGGGCCTCTTCTCTAAGTTCTTCCAATTTAGATTTTTCAATAGAAAATCCAGATTCCTCAGATAAACCTAAACTCATCGTTGATGTAGGTAATGTACTCATTTCTTCATCCACTTGTTCAAGAATTTCATCAACACGTTTAGTAAAAAGTTTAAAAGATGCATTTTCAGCAGCAGTGTCAGTATTCCAACCTTCCATTTGTTGGGTATTTTGTTCTATCATATTGTTTCGCTTTTTGTATTTTTCTTCTCTTTGTCTTTGCCTTTCATTCCATTCTAATTCTCGCTGTTTAATCACTTAAATTTTTTTTAATTATAAAATTGCTGCAAAAATATATAAAACCTTCTGTAGGCGTTGGAGGCCTATTTTGAATAATTTTTGTTTTAATCTCGACAATTTCATTGTTCTCAGTAGATCTTCGTCTTTTCCGCGACTTTTTAACCTGTGGAGAAACACATGGAGAAACAAATATTAATTCTCGCATTTTTTAAATTTATTATTTAATTAAAATTTAAGTCTGCTAATTGAAAGGAATTTAAAGAGAGACCAAAAAATGAAAAGAAATTTTACAGTAAATTATAAAGTGAGAGAAAAACCACAAAAAAGGGCTAATCGAATCATATTCTGAAACGTCCGGTTGGGGTCAGTAGAGTGCCACCACTAGAGTGCTGCCACTAGAGAGCGGGCGAGATTTTCCAACAATGAAAAATCTCGGCGGGAAAGTTGTTATAACAATTGGGGATGTTGCCGGCATTTTTAATCTATTGGCACTCTAGTGGCTCGCTCTCTATTGGCTCAGCTCACTAGTGCCCGCTCTCTAGTAGCGGCACTCTAGTGGCCCGATCCGTGAAACGTCCGTGTAGAGGAGACTAATCAAGAATTAGAGACTAATCAAGAATCGATCATTCTTGACTTTTGAATGATATAGGAATTCTTCTAATCAGTTGAAAATCAAAAAAGTTATAATCCATTCTAAAACGGCCATTCTGAAATGTCCCCTAAAAAATTCAATTTTTGGCATAATGTCTTCATAAGAACGCCAAAAATTAGTCTATTTAAATTGAAGTCCAAAAATCCGTCAAGAATTCTCAGAGTTGATAATAATTGACTGTTTATCAAATTACGACATTTTAGGGGAAAGTCTTCATCTATTTTTTTATAAAAAAGTAAAATCCCAACCGATATAAAATTGTTAAGAATATTTTAACAAGTTGGCTAATTTAATGCTTGTAAATTTAATCAACTTACATCATTTCTGCAGTCATTTTCGTTATCCTCACTTGCTGAATGGTGGGATATTAAAAGATTTTCTTCGGATTCTTTTGTTTCAATATTTATTTGTTTGTTACTTTTTGAGGGAGAATTAATGTTTGAATCAACCTAAATTTTAAATTATTTTTATTTTATTTTTTTACAAACAATTTCTTTTTGTTTTTCTTTTGTTGTTTCAATTTCTGGTTTATTTAATTGTTCAGATATTGAAGTAGTTGACATTTGATTATTTTGTTGTTGTTGTATTTCATTTTCTTCTAAATTCTCAAAAGGTTCGGGTTCAACACTAAAAGCAAATTGGCTAATTAATTGAATAGCTTCTACAAGTGGAGGAAGTGGGGAAATTCCAATTAATTGATCATTTGCTTCATCATCCATCTTTTTTAATTCTCTAAAATTTTTAAAAAAAAATTCGAAAAAAATATTTAATTTTGTGTCCAATATTTTATTTTCCTGCAAAAATTTTCTCTTTCAGATTTTGCCAGAAAAAAATTTTATATATTTTACTTGATTTCATTTAATTTTTGTCTGATTAGCTTAAATTTTTAAGAGAAAAATTTTCGGAAACAAAACCCAAACTCACATTTCACGTAAATTATCAGTTGAATCAGAAAGTAAAGTTGCCAAATAATCAGCTAATAAAGGGTCTCTATTTGAAAGAACCATTTGTGCCTGATGCTGATCAAAACAAGATAAAGCTGTTGAAGAAATTGTTTCTGACGGGAAAGGAATAAAATTGTTGACTGAAAAAAAGAAAAATTTTTTTCAAAAATTTTTATAAAAAAACCTTTCGATAAAGTATGGCAACCGGCCAAATGTATTGGATCTGGAATACTTTGCAATTTCTCTTGTATACCTTGAGTTCGTTCTCTAGCACTTAACTGTCTTCTATCTAAATCTTCTTGCACTAATTGACTGAAAAAAAATTTTTTTTTGAATTTTTTTGGAATTTTTTCTTCTAAAAACCTTTGTTTAGCATTTTCTTGTGCTTTTCGTTTAGCTTGTAATTCCAATTCTTTTTCTGCCAATATTTTAGGATTTTCGGGTGATTTCATTTTTTGAATTAATTGAGGCTTTTCTTTATGTTCAAAAGAAGAACTGGCTAAATTTTGATTTGAAACTTTTAGAGGAAAAATGGGTTGTTGGGAGGTTTGGGGTTGTTGTTGGGGATAGTTTTGATGGACATAAGGGATTGAAGTAGATGTTGAGGCCTTAAATATTTTTTTTAATTTTTATTTTTCCGTTTTTAATAAATTTCCAATGAGAGGAAAATATGAAAAAAATGTCCATGTGGAAAATATTTTAATCGAGAGGAAGTGCTAAATTTGGGGTATATCTCAATAGATCGAGGAGGAAATCGATTTATTTTTTGATATTGATTCTTATAATGTTTCAATAATTAAAAATGAAAATCAATGATTTTTTCAATATTTTTTAAAACTTGTGTAGGAACAAGAGGGGGTAATTATTAAATGGGGTAATTAATTGGGAGAGGGTAATTATACGAGCATTTACGGGATCACTATTTTTGGATTTAAATAACAAAAAAAATATTTAAAATAAAAACAATTGAGGAAGAAGCAATTTGTTGACGTTGCTGTTGACAGTGAATCTGTTGTTTTTGTTGCTCCAAATATTGTTGCTGTTGTGCTAACAACAAATATTGTTGATGTGCAGCTAGAGAAGAAGCCAAATCGGGCATGTAATTGTTGTTTGAAGTAGATTGTTGGGGAAATAATAATTGTTGGTGGGGGGCAGGGGGTGATTGAAGGATTGTCCCGAATGTTTGGGGAGTTCTAATTACCTCTGTGGAAGGCTGGATATTTGGTGGAAACATTTGAGTCTTTATAAAAGGAAAAATAAAAATATTTTTGAGAGAAAAAGAAAACTTTGGCTATTGATTGAACATCTCCAATAAGAGAAGACATTTCATGAGGGACAGAATTAATTTGTGGGTAATATTGCTGCCTTCGGGCAAACTTAAAAAACAATTTTTAAAAACCCCCAAAAAATATAAACAAACATCCATATGCATAGAAGCATTAGAAATTTGTTGTAATTGAAGATCAAAATGATGATTTTGTACAACAGCAGGATTTAGTTGTTGGGGGTGAATTAAAGATGGATTATAATTACTACCCGAACCAAATACTAGAAAGTTTTTAAAAATTCTTTAAAAAAATTATTTTCTAGACCTTGCGGATGTTGTTGTTGCTGTTGCGACATTAAAATAATTTCTCAACAATTTAGAATTTTTATTTCATTTAAATTTTTAATATTTTTTAAAAATTTTTGGGTTTCTCTAAAAAATCCTAAATTAAATTGTAGTTTTGTTTGCCAAATTAAGAATGGAAAAATGTATACATAAATTGTTCGGACAATTATGATTCTCGATTCTTATTGTTATGTAATTTCTAATAGGATACTCGAAATATTTACATAATTGCGGTCTCATCAAGTTTTTAACAAAATTTCTGTCGCTGATTTTAATTTCATCCCAAATTTAAGTAAAACAAATGGATATGTTTTACAGTAACTGCCGAATTCCGACTTTTAAATAAAGAATCTCGATTTCCTAAATATTACGAATCGATGTACGTTGCTTGTGAAACGACTAATTCGAGTTATGGCCACTTAAAATTTCGGTCTATAGGATGTTTGAGTATAAGGAAGAGAGAAGAAGGGAATGAGCCTCTTTTTGTCTCTTTCAATAAACTGGACAATTCACCATCAGACAATTCACCAAAAAAAATTTTTAATTGACTTTAGGCCTGTTTTCTTATTAATGTGATAATATTTAATTTCTTCATTATATTATGCCGAACTTTCAAGTTCATTATGCATTGGTTCCAAGAAAATTTTCAAAATTTATATTTCTACAACAACAACATAGATTATTTTCAACTGAAACAAAAATTGAAAAATTTACAGAAAATGTATTACTTAAATCATTAAATAAATATACACCAGGTTTGTTTATTTTTTAAATTTTTTGGTAATAGTGTCGTTTCCAGGCCCCATTTTTTCTCCCCAATTTTTTACCCTATGTTTGTACGGAATGGTCAAATTTTCCCCTTTCTTTCATCAAATTTGCCTTTCCATATTTTGCCTAAAAACAATCAAAAAGATTAATTTGTGATATTAAAAAAAGTATTAGAGTAATGAGAAGAATCATTTTCCCAATTAATAAAAATGGAAGACTGTTGTTGTGAGACGAAAATATGAAAGAGGCAGACAACCATCAAAGAAAGATGTATGGATGATTGGGGGCGTTGAGAGAAACAACAAGCTTTTTGATTGTTTTTAGGCAAAATATGGAAAGGCAAATTTGATGGAAGAAAAGGGAAAATTTTACCATTCCGTACAAACATAGGGTAAAAAATTGGGGAGGAAAAAATGGGGCCTGGAAACGACACTATTACCAATTTTTTTATAAATTTTTAATAATATTTTAGATAAAATTCGAAACTTTGCAATAATTGCACATATTGATCACGGTAAATTTTTATAAAATGAAGACTTCTATTTAAATTTTGGCTTCATGTAAGGGTAAAGATTAGCATCGTTCCCATTTTTCCTTATCAAATATTCATAATTAACAGACCTTCGAAGGAAATTAAAATGTAACTAAATCGCTCTAAAAATTTTTTTAGGCAAAAGTACACTTTCTGATCGATTATTACAATTAACAAACGTCATTCCATCTGATTCGGAACAAAGATATCTTGATAAATTGGAGGTCGAAAAAGAACGAGGAATTACTGTACTGTTTGTTTTTCTTAATTTACTAGGGAATTTTTTAGAGACCTTGCACTTTTTTTAGGTTAAAGCCCAAACTTGTACTATGTTTTATAAAGGAATGATGCTGAATTTAATTGATACTCCTGGCCATGTTGATTTTAAGTAAATTTTTCTTGTTAAATATTTTAGATTCATAACCTATTTTGAGTCACAAATTTTCTTAATTTTATTTCAGTTTTGAAGTCAAGCGTTCTTTAGTTGCCTGTGGTGGTGCTATTCTTCTTGTAGCTGCAAATCAAGTTTAGTTTTATCACATTTTTATGTTTTTATTTTTTAAGGGAATACAAGCTCAAACAATTTTTAATTTTTGGGATGCCTTCCAAGCCGAATTGTCAATAATTCCAATAATAAATAAAATTGATATGGCATTGGTGGATATTGATAGAATTGAAAAACAAATGCAAACACTTTTTGATTTTAAAAAAGAGGAAATACTTAAAGTGTCTGCAAAAACGGGATTAAATGTCCCTTCAATTTTGGATGCAATTATTGAAAGAATTCCTCCGCCTAATCTTGAAATGAAGGAAGAAAAATCTTTTCAGGCACACATCTTTGATTCTTGGTATCTTATTTTTGATTTTTAATTTAATTGGGAATCTTTTATATAACCGATAGGGTTGGGGGCCCGATCCGACCCGGTCCGAAAGATCGAGTCGGGCATTGAATTTTGGCCCGAAAAAGACTAGGTCGGGCCGGCCAGATAAAAATGAGCGCGAAAAAAAGACTCGAACGTCGGCCCGACTTGGAAACCCCAACCCTAATAACCGGCGCTGTAAATTTTCATTTTTTTGGTGAAATGTTTCAAAAAAGTTCTATTTTGGTTAAAATAAATTTTTAATTTACTCTTTTTGGTTGTAATTTTCTATTAACTTATGAATAAGAATTAGGCATGAGAATTTATTTTTATTAAAAAAATTTTTTAAGCATTTTTCCTTTTACATTTTAGGTTTGATCATCGTTGCGGAGTCGTTTTACTTTTAGTTGTTAACTAGCGATGGGTTTGGCCACTGGGGTGCCTATTACGATACTGTGGCAGTAAAATACATCGGGGGGTTCTTTAGGTTACGAAACTTCTGCCCCTTGGAAAGCCTAACGGCTTTGGGGGCGCGCTTCGCGCGCCGCTAGCGATTTTTTATGCCTGGAACAAAAGATTAGCCTTCAGTTGGGACTCATCCATCCATTTAGAGTCACTTCGGGACTTCGGCCCTCGTCTTCCCCTCATTTGGACTCATCTTCCACTTAGAGTCACTTCGGGCCTTCGGCCCTCGTCTTCCTCCCAATTGGATTCATCCTTCCACTTAGACTCATCCTTCCACTTAGAGTCACTTCGGGCCTTCGGCCCTCGTCTTCCTCCCAATTGGATTCATCCTTCCACTTAGACTCATCCTTCCACCCTTCGGCCCTCCCTTTTAGATGGGTGTCAGCTCGGGCCTTCGGCCCTCGCCCTTCCTTTTAGATGGGTGTCAGCTCGGGCCTTCGGCCCTCACCCTCCCTTTTAGATGGGTGTCAGCTCGGGCCTTCGGCCCTCGCCCTTCCTTTTAGATGGGTGTCAGCTCGGGCCTTCGGCCCTCGCCCTTTCTTTTAGATGGGTGTCAGCTCGGGCCTTCGGCCCCCACTGGGGTGCCTATTACAATACTATGGCGGTTAAATTTTGCTTTGGGTTTGAATTTGACTCTGCCCGTTGGAAAGCCTAACGGCTTTGGGGGCGCGCTTCGCGCGCCGCTAGCGATTTTTTATGCCTGGAACAAAAGATTAGCCTTCATTTGAGACTCATCCTTCCAAATAGAGTCACTTCGGGACTTCGGCCCTCGTCTTCCCCCCATTTGGACTCATCCTTCCACTTAGAGTCACTTCGGGCCTTCGGCCCTCATGTTCCCTTAGATTGGACTCATCCTTCATTAGATTCCACTTAGAGTCACTTCGGGCCTTCGGCCCTCATGTTCCCTTAGATTGGACTCATCCTTCCACTTAGATTCCACTTAGAGTTACTTCGGGCCTTCTACCATCGCCCTCCCTTTTAGATGGGTGTCAGCTCGGGCCTTCGGCCCTCGCCGTTCCTTTTAATATGTGTTCCTTCGGGCCTTCGGCCCTCGTCTTCCCCTCGATTGGACTCATCCTTCCACTTAGACTCATCCTTCAACCCTCGCCCTCACTTTTAGATGTGTGTCAGCTCGGGCCTTCGGCCCTCGCCCTCTCCCTTCCATTTAGATGTGTGTCTGCTACGGGCCTTCGGCCCTCGCCCTCCCTTTTAGATGGGTGTCAGCTCGGGCCTTCGGCCCTCGCGACTCCTTTTTTTTAATATGGTAAATCTAAACCTATGGAGCGTAGGCAAGGCGCTTGTGCAAAACCCCGCGCTTCGCGCGGGGTTTTGCGGCACGCGCCTCGCGGGTCGTCAAAGGTCGCTGGGTTCTGGGCTCGTAACATGATCCTATTCCTATAACGATCAAGTTTCCTATAACGAACCTATTCCAATAAAATCCACTCACAAATCAAAATTTTAAAAGCTGAAGCAAAATTGCTTCTAAAATAAAAAAAATGCTCGGGCCTTCGGCCCTCGCCCTCCCTTTTAGATGGGTGTCAGCTCGGGCCTTCGGCCCTCGCCCTCTTTTTTAGATGGATGTCAGCTCGGGCCTTCGGCCCTCGCCCTTCCTTTTAAATGGGTGTCAGCTCGGGCCTTCGGCCCTCGCCCTCCCTATTAGATGGGTGTTAGCTCGGGCCTTCGGCCCTCGCCCTTTCTTTTAGATGGGTGTTAGCTCGGGCCTTCGGCCCTCGCCCTCCCTATTAGATGGGTGTTAGCTCGGGCCTTCGGCCCTCGCCCTTCCTTTTAGATGGGTGTTAGCTCGGGCCTTCGGCCCTCGCCCTTCCTTTTAGATGGGTGTCAGCTCGGGCCTTCGGCCGAGCTCGGGCCTTCGGCCCTCGTTCTCCCTTTTAGATAGGTGTCAGCTCGGGCCTTCGGCCCTCGCGACTCCTTTTTTTTAAAATGGTCAATCTAAACCTATGGAGCGTAGGCGAGGCGCTTGTGCAAAACCCCGCGCTACGCGCGGGGTTTTGCGGCACGCGCCTCGCGGGTCGTCAAAGGTCGCTGGGTTCTGGGCTCGTAACATGATCCTATTCCTATAACGATCAAGTTTCCTATAACGACCCTATTCCAATAAAATCCACTCACAAATCAAAATTTTAAAAGCTGAAGCAAAATTGCTTCTAAAATCAAAAATTAAAGACTTGAAGCAAATTTGCTCAAGTTTCACAAATTTCAAAAACGGAAGCAAATTTGCTTCAAGTTTCAAAAATTCAAACTAAAAGCAAATCTGCTTCAAGAATATAAACTTCAAAACATTTAGCAAATTTGCTTCATGCTATAAATTTCAAAACTTGAAGCAAAAATATGAAGCAGAAGCATGCTTCTGCTTCGGATCCATAACAGGATCCAGCTTATCCCACAACAAAATTTTTCCATATATACAAAATTCACCTTTAAACTCTTCTACGGTTTGCCCCGTATGGTCAGAGACGCAGAATAATTTTGCTTCTCTTCCAAACATTTCACCTGTCAATGATTTTTTCTCCCTCACTCCCATCATTCTCTGGGTACGGTACTCCACCCCACAAATTTTCGAACCTCTGTATGTTCGTTAAAATGTACCAAAAAAAATTGAAAAAAATATTTTTAAAGTCATCTCTATAAGAGCTTTCGAATGATATATCATTTGACATATCTATCTTGATTTTTGAAATTATAATTTTTTCCGGGAAAATTCGGCCGAAAAAAATCTTTAAAATTTTCAAAAAATCATAACTTGCTTAAAGTTAGCCTTTTTTGAAAATTTTTAAATTCTATCCGATGCAGCAAAATCTGCTCAATTCAGGAAAAATATATTCGGCCCGAAACAAATGCAAAAATCCTGAAAATTTTTTAAAAAACAGAAAAATTTTGGGTTTTTCGAAATTCGACCCCTATACCCCAAGTTTCGACTTTTTTCGAAATTTTTTGGGCTAAAAAATTTCTAATTTTTTGCTCTATTTTTTAATGCAAACCTCATCCCAATACAGCCATCCCACAAAAAGTTATGGCGATTTAAAAATCCCGAAAATCCCCCATAAAGGGGTACCCCTTTAAAAATAGGAGGTGGGACAAAATTTTCAAATTTTGACCTAAAAAAACGACCTATATAGTACTCTGACATGCGCTGAGTACGAATCCGGCGTCAGAAAAATTTTTAAAAATTTCCCCAGGAAGTTACTAAAAGCAAATCTGCTTCAAGAATATAAACTTCAAAACATTTAGCAAATTTGCTTCATGCTATAAATTTCAAAACTTGAAGCAAAAATATGAAGCAGAAGCATGCTTCTGCTTCGGATCCATAACAGGATCCAGCTTATCCCACAACAAAATTTTTCCCTATATACAAAATTCACCTTTAAACTCTTCTACGGTTTGCCCCGTATGGTCAGAGACGCAGAATAATTTTGCTTCTCTTCCAAACATTTCACCTGTCAATGATTTTTTCTCCCTCACTCCCATCATTCTCTGGGTACGGTACTCCACCCCACAAATTTTCGAACCTCTGTATGTTCGTTAAAATGTACCAAAAAAAAATTGAAAAAAATATTTTTAAAGTCATCTCTATAAGAGCTTTCGAATGATATATCATTTGACATATCTATCTTGATTTTTGAAATTATAATTTTTTCCGGGAAAATTCGGCCGAAAAAAATCTTTAAAATTTTCAAAAAATCATAACTTGCTTAAAGTTAGCCTTTTTTGAAAATTTTTAAATTCTATCCGATGCAGCAAAATCTGCTCAATTCAGGAAAAATATATTCGGCCCGAAACAAATGCAAAAATCCTGAAAATTTTTTAAAAAACAGAAAAATTTTGGGTTTTTCGAAATTCGACCCCTATACCCCAAGTTTCGACTTTTTTCGAAATTTTTTGGGCTAAAAAATTTCTAATTTTTTGCTCTATTTTTTAATGCAAACCTCATCCCAATACAGCCATCCCACAAAAAGTTATGGCGATTTAAAAATCCCGAAAATCCCCCATAAAGGGGTACCCCTTTAAAAATAGGAGGTGGGACAAAATTTTCAAATTTTGACCTAAAAAAACGACCTATATAGTACTCTGACATGCGCTGAGTACGAATCCGGCGTCAGAAAAATTTTTAAAAATTTCCCCAGGAAGTTAGTCTCATGAAGTTTCGCGACATTTGCGAACATTGGCCATAACTTTTTGAGACTCAAGTGGACCCCCAACATATTATACCTATTTCGGAGCCCCTCATTATCCCCTCTTGAATGACTACTCATTCACTGATATCCACTTCAATCTCAAATCCCAAAAATCACGGATTTCGAAGTTCGAACTCCGAACTTCGACTTTTCGGCTTTATCCTTTATCACATTCAACTCCACTCATTATCCCCTCTTGAATGAGTACTCATTCATCCATATCCACTTCAATCTCAAATCCCGAAAATCCCGGATTTGAAGTTCGAACTCGAAACTTCGAATTTCGACTTTATATTTTATCCCATTAGACTTTCCTGATAATCCCCTCCTGAATGACTACCCAATTGCGAATATCCCCAAACCCCGAAAATACGGATTTCGAAGTTCGAACTCCGAACTTCGAATTTCGACATTATCCCTTATCCCATTAGACTCCCCTGATCATCCCCTCTTGAATGACTACTCACATGCCCATATCCCCAACCCCTGAAAATCCAGGATTTCGAAGTTCGACTTCGAACTTAGACTTTAGCCATGATCCCTTATCCCATTAGACTCCCCTCAGTTCCAGCTCTTGAATGACTACCCACTCACCCATATCCCCCAACCCCGAAAAACCCGGATTTCGAAGTTCGAACTCCGAACTTCGACTTTCGACATTATCCTTTATTCTTTTGATCTCCCCTCATTATCCCCTCTCGAATGAGTACTCATTCGACCATATCCACAAATCCCGAAAATACCGGATTTC